GGCCGTTTCAGAAGGAGGTGTCCCGTCTCTGCTGGAGTTGTCTGGGATTCCACGCAGCCTGGTGAATGCCACCCGACCTGTAGGGTCAGAGGTTTTCATTGCAGTATTTTTCTTTTCCAGGCAGGGCAGTGAGATGTCCTTCTTTCTAATTCCATCATAATTCATGTTCCTTAGAGCCGAGACCTGGTTAAAATAACAAAATACTCACAGAGCATAATGTTATCTGTAAGGAAAAAGCAAATGTAGTGCAGCCTATTCAGTTTCTGCGGGTACATTCTCTTTGAGATTATCTTTTCAAACTTAAAAAAAACTGTTTCTTTAGTATGTTACACAATGTTAAAGGGTAAGAAATTGCTATTTTCATATCTCGACTTCTCATTTTTTATTCTGAATTTGAATTAAATGGTAGGATCCCCAGTAATACCCAAACATTCCAGTACAGTAGGCTCTGCTGATGTGGGAGAAATGAATGATTAAGTTTCGCAAAATCTAATTATTTATACTTCAAATAAGAACTGCGGCATAACTCATGGAGGCATCTTTTTGTGTTATTTTACATCAAATTCAATATTATTTACATTTTATGTCAAGTTGAGAGTGAGAAGTTACTAAAACTTATGTGCAAAACATGAGTACTTTAAAAACAATGCATTTCCCTTCAGTCACTGATGAATGTGTGTGTGTGAGTGTGTGTGCATACCCCCTGTGCATGTGTGTGTGCACGCGTGTGCATGTGTGCGAGTGTGTGCGTGCATACCCCTGTGCATATGTGTGTGTGCGAGTGTGTGCATGCACACACCTGAGTGCTTAGATGGATCTGTGCAGAGTTCCCCACTCTGAACTGTGCAGAGTTCAGGAAGGCTCACCTACTGGCCCGGTGAGGGACAGGTGGACTTCTCAGAGGCAGCTTGTGTAGCTGTGAGCATTAGTGCCCCGTGTGCCTGCACTTCACTCTGTGCATGTAAATGACTTTTGCTACGGCTGGTTATGGAAAATGAAAGCCTGACAAGGAAGTTTCCACAGAAATGAAACATTTCCTTGCTTAGTCTGGAACCCATTTGCCAACTTAAAATTTACTTAAGAAAAACTCATGGAATTTGTTCCCGTTTCATTAAGTATGGAACTGTATGTGATCACATGTGTCTGGCTGTAAATAAACATTGACTTAGAAAGGTTTAACATGACTTGCACAGTGCATAGAACAGTGCTTTGATTACAGTGAATTTAAATGCCAGGAGAACGTAATTAGAAGTTATTCTTAAAACACATAACTTCAGAAACACAGAACAAAGACGGTGTTCTCTGAGGTTATTTGAGGAGCCCTTTTGTAACGTTCAGATGTTGCTGTGTTGGTTTTGGAACTGCAGTTGGGCTGTCAAAGTTTTCATTTAACATTTGCTCAAGGTGTTCATTGACCCAGCGTTTCACTTTTTATTAGTTGCTCTACGATTGCTCAGGATATTGCATTTTCTCGCTTTTAAAATACTTCTGAGCATTCATGTTTATATTAGGAAAATTTGTAAGCGCAGTGGTTGACGATTAAAAAATAAGAATTTGTGGAAATTTTGGCATATTTTTAAATTTTTAAAGACATCTTACTTTATACACCACACATTCCTACCTAAATTAACTTTGGATATATGGTTTAAACAGGGTAGAGATGTGTTGCTTAAATTTCACATAGGTAAGCTTACGTACACACTCAGACACATGTGCACACATGCACACCTGTCAGCTTTTGTAGACACCAAAAGGCTTTATTTCTAAAGAAAGACTTTTACTTAGCCAGTATAGACATACCCCTCGTTGAGAAGTCAAATGTCCTGAAAAGAAGGGCTTATGTTGAGAGTTAGCTGCTGGGAAGAATATTTAATTTATATCTCAGGATAAAAAGTACTATCATAACATTGGGGCCATGGTGACTCGATCCTGTAGAATACAAAGGGGCAAGATTGTCCCAGTATGTATGGAACAATGGAATTGCCTTCCGGATGTGCTCGGGCATGCTGGAGCCAGCTGCTCCACTCTCTCAGTGAGCGCCCCCCTCAGTGAGCACCCCCCTCTCTCCGTGAGCACCCCCCACTCTCGGTGAGCACCCCCCCTTGGTGAGCACCTGGCTCTCTCAGTGAGCGCCCCCCTCTCTCAGTGAGAACCCCCCTCTCTCGGTGAGCACCCCCCCTCAGTGAGCGCCCCCCCTCTCAGTGAGCACCCCCACAGCACAGTGCTCCTGCTGCTCCAACGTGTGGTCTCAGTTTTCTTGTTACTGAGTGGCAAAATTTATCTCTGCACATTTTGTAGTTGGTGAAAATTTGGTCAAAATTATTGACAACAAGCAGTTAATCAATATAAAAATTCTTTTTACATACTGCTGTAGTGTTATAGTTTGGGTCATAATCCCGAAAGACCCGAGCCTGAATGTCACACTCTCGAATGTTGAAATCCTGAAAGATCAAAATTCCTAAAGGCTAAATCCCTAACATCTAAAATCTGAACATCACAGTCACTGGGTACTGGTGTCACATTGGGCAGAAATACTAGTTTTGTCATTATCTTTATTTGGACATTCAGAACGTTTAGGATGTGTGTGGGTGTCAAACTGACAACACCTGCACTTGTGGA